AGACCTTCCCAATAGCTCAGGTTAATGCAAAATGCTCTTTAGGGGAAAAGTCGTAACGACTGAGATGGGGTGGCATTGAAAATAGGGTCTAAGCTTCCGTGAAGTTTTGACCAAGGCCAGAGCTAACTTTTTGAGATGTGGGTATCTTGTCTCGATGTTGACGAATGTTTTGCTAATGTAATAGATGGGAGATTGCATACCTTTGTTTTCTCGAAATAAGACTGCGCTTACAGCTACTTCGAATACGACTAGATAGACGAGGAGATGCTCCCCCGGCTCGGGTTTTGAAAGCAAGGGCAGCGATGACAGGTATGCCTTTAGTTCTCGCAGAGCCTGGACGTACTCAGAAGTCCATTCGAGGCCGTTGTCTTTCTTGAGTATGCCAGAATTTATGACACCTATCCGACAACCGCAAGATGAACCTTGATAGGGCGTCGATGTGACCAGTCAACCTTTGGACCTATTTTTTGGTGTTCAAGAGTTTTGGTATTCCCTCAATGGCTTTGATATGGTCTGGGTTGACCTCGATCCCTCGCTGTGATACCAAAAAACTCAAGAACTTTCCCGAGGCTACACCAAACGCGCATTTCTCCTGGTTCAACTTCATTCTGTACCGTTTTGGTATTTCAAAAGTTTCTTTCAAATGATCGATTTGATCTTCTCCCCTTTTTGACTTGACCATCATGTCATCTATATATACCTCCATTGTTTTGCCGAGCTAGTCTTTGCACATCTTTGTTACCAACATTTGATAAGTAGCCCCTGCGTTCTTCAGTCCAAAAAGCATGACCCTGTAGCAATACATTCCTTGGTAGGTGATGAGCGTGGTTTCTCCTGATCTTCTTCTTCCATGAGGATCCGATTATAGCCTGAGTAAGCGTCCAAGAAACTTAGTAACTCATGCCCGGTTGTCGCGTCGATAAGTTGATCGATATGAGCAATAGGAATGAGTCCTTCGGACATGATTTGTTCAAATCTATGAAATCCACGCACATCCGCCATTTCCCATTCTTTTTTTTTGACCATCACTACGTTGGCGACCCACTTAGGGTACTCCAACTCCCTGATGGAACCATTTTTGAACAATTTTTCCACCTCCTCGCGCACTGTGTCATTAACTGTGGAGTTGAATTTATGCCTGACCTGTCTCACTGGGGTGGGAATGGGTCGACGTTTAATTTGTGCATGGCAATTTCCTTTGGGATGCCCGGCATATATGCATGGCTGAAAGCAAAACAAATTTGTATTAGCTGTTAGGAATTGACTGAATTCACCTGGTTCATGAAGTTTGCAGCCGATATAGGCCTTTTTGCTATGGTCGATAAGGTCTAATTGAACGGGGTCGAGGTCTTCTATGGTCGGTCCTGCAGCTTCGACCATGTCAGGGTCTTTGATGCTGTCCCCGATCTCATCGTGCTCAACCTCGACCCTGTTGATTGCTATGCCTCTTTTTCTTTGTCCTTTCCTTGTTGGGTGGTCGTGCTACCTAAGGCGATACGGTAGTATTCTCGGAATGTGTGTTGTTCTCCTCGTATACTGAATATTCCCCATGAAGTTGGGAATTTTATTACTTGGTATAAGCTGGATGTGACGGCTTTCGTGGGATGTATCCACGGTCGTCCCATTATAGCATTGTATGCAGTGGCTTGGTTTATGATGTGGAACGTTGTCTCTAGAGTTATGCCACCAGCCAGAACAGGGAGTGTAATTTCCCCTGATGCCCGTTCAACTGCATTATTAAAACCAGTTAGTGTGATGCAGCGCGACACTATCTTATCTTCCAGTTTTATTTGGATAAGTACTCGGGTATGGATAATGCGCGTGACCATAATGTGTTTAACATCAGTATCTAAAATTCGTAAAGTAATAACGAGGGAGTCATTATGAGTAAAAGTCAAACCGTCGGTATCTGACTTGTCGAAGATGATACTTTTTTCGAGTTCGTCGTACCGTTCGCGGGTGATGGATCGCTTGGGTAGTGGTGAACTTTACGCTGTTGATAGAGGTGTCATCGCCGCCGCCGATGATCATGTTTATGGTACGAGCTGATGAGGGTGGCTTTGGCGGTCCTTGGTGTTCGTATCCTCTGGCGAAATTGGTCCTTCCCCAATCGCTTAGTAGTTCTTTGAGGTGTCCTTGTCGCAACATATTTATGACTTTTTGCCTTAGGTTTTGTGCCCTCTTTCTTGGTGGAACTCACAGAGGGCGTCAGACTTACTTGTATTCGGATCCGATCTCATTTTTGGCGGCCGCATCACTTTCGGTTTGAGCTTCTCCAGAGCATAGACTATCTCTGTAGGTGACACACAAAAGTTGTGAGAAGATAATAAGATAGGCATACCTCTTTCGTTCCGATGAGTTCCCATCCTTGGTCTGGACGGGCCTTCTTCATAATGGGGGGAGGGAGCAACGACCGTCCTGATATATGGTTGATGTCGTTCTATGTTTGGTCGCGGAATTGGATGATCTCTTCAGGTGTTTTCTCTGCGATATTTTCTAGATTCAGCTTGTACTAAGGTTAGTCGGTGAGTTGGCCCATTGAGGTCGTCCTCATCTTCTCGGATCTCGGCATAGTAAGCATTGCGGATTTTGTCCCAAGTGGTTGGGGGATACTTTATTAACCGACTCAATAGTCTTCTAGTTGCTTTTGAACCATCTCTACTCATCTCGTTCTGAAAGGCTGCGACCGCCATCCCTTTGGATACGTTTGGCAGAGTCATCCTTACTCGGTTGAACCGGGCGAGGAAGTCCCTTAGCCCCTCCCCCAAGGACTGCCTAACGGCAAAATGTCGCTTACACTTGCATCGGTCTTCTTGGCCCCGGCGTGGGCGGTTACCAATTTGTCGATCATTTTTTTGAAGGTTTCTATGAAGCGGGCTGGTAACTGTGAATACCATGTCAATGCTCCTCCCGTGAGGGTTTCGCCAAACTTCTTCAGCAAAATGGAGGACATTTGTTCCTTGGCGAGGTCATTGCCTTTCATGGCGGTGACATAGTGAGTCACGTGATCTTCGAAATCGGTCGTGTCGTCGTATATCCTGAGGTAGGACGGCATTTTGAAGGTATTTGGTATGGCATGCGGGTTTGCATCAGCACTGTACGGCTGCTTGACGAACCTGCTAGTGTCCCTTTTCGGCAGAAGCTTAGGAGCGCCTGGTATCTTATCAACCCGTTCTTGGTGTTCTTTCATCTGGTCTCGGAGCGCCTTGTTTTCGTTCTCCATTTCTTCCATCCTTTTTAGAATGGAGGCAAGGGCGTTGTCAACTGCACTATCAATGACATTGTGAGTTATACTTGTCGTTGGAGGGAGGGTTGGTTGCACTGCTCATCTGTTTGTTGTATCGTGCAAGTCCTTGTGGTTTCTGTAGTCGTGCCTGGAGTGGATTTTTTTAGGACGCTTGTTAGCGTGTCAGTTAGTCACGCCTCGAGGAGTTTCTTCACAGCTAGGGCTGTCCCTTCTTCCACAGACGTGGAGGCTCCTTTACCACGGGATTTTGTTATACTGCAGTGTGGGCGGTGACCCATCTCTCCTAGGAGATGCACTGAGCGTCATGTCCTCACCTGCTGTTTCACAACTTTCGTTGATGACATTCATGAGGTTGGTTGGGAAGTCACTTGTTAATCTCGTCCTTTCTTCTCGGTTACCTTCCATGTATGGTTTTGTATACACAAAGAAATGAGATCTTGGGGTTTTCCTTTTTTTTTATGTTAGTGACCTGTGTTAGTTGTAGATCTAGAGGAAACTAAAAATTTAGCTAAGAAATCCCCACAGACGGCGCCAAATTGTTTGACCAAAAAATATATATCTTGGTTCAAATAATTAAATATATGTAAATAAGGGTTAATCTTAGCTAACAATAACATCCTTAGATGAAGTTTTTGAAGAAGCAATAAATGTCGTATGGGTCTGGTTGGACAGTGGCAACAACATGTAATAATTGTTCTAGAAATCAGGAGCAATAATGTAGCATTCAATAATAATGAAAAATAATAAATGGCATTTTAGTAAATAGGAGGAAAGATTCACCAAATAAAGGATGGAATAAGTGGATCTTCCTCCTTACAATGAATGATAGACAAATCTTTGAATATTCGAGTTATTCTCGGATCTGATGGAAAAGTATGGACAAGAATCTTAGTGAAAAAGTGATGTTTGTATCTTAGCAAGTGAGAGCCGAATCTTTTAGTCAATTGTGTTCTTTACAAATGAAATGTCACATTCCCCTATCATTATCTCTTTTTCTCTTTATATGGGACATATTTTTAAGAAACCCTAATAGTACAAGTGTAGAGAATATCCACTAGAATATTATCTTTAATATCATATCTTGAAAACTAGCCATTACAGCTCTGCCAACCGTACTCGACCTCGACCTCGACGCTTGTTGATATCTTGACTACGGCCCTCGTCGACTCTTCGACCACGGCCTTTGCTTCTTCTTAGGCCATCTCGACTAACGACGGCTTGGGAACTCTTCCCTTAGTATTATCTTGGCTAAAATATTCTAAAGACAAATTTTGACCCATACTCGTATCTCCTTCAAAGAGAAAAAACACAACTTAGGCCAGAGCAGCACAATTCACTATTTCTTGCTCGTGAATATCTCTATATCATCTTATTTTTTCCTTCAGGCTAGCCATCAGAGGCGGCGGACCTATGTTCGGAGTAGAGGGTCAGTGGACCCCATTAACTTCGACAATTTTTTTAGATATTATCAATATATTTAACGTGGAACCCTTAAACTCAAAAGTTAGATGCGGCATTGGTTAAGTAGTTCGCTCGTGTGCCTCCCGACCTCGCCATCTTCAAATCTTGGGTCCACCTCTACTAGCCATGCAGAGATAAAGACTGCTTCTCTGCTCAAAATTTCTGACTAAACCACAATTCACAGTTCCCTGTCACCCCGAACGTACTCCTTATCACATAGTTCACCAATCAACGTGTTCTAGTAGAACCAAGTTTTCTACTAGTACAAAATTGCAGAGGTACACAAATTCCAAGAGGGAATATTAAAGCTTTTCAGCTAAAAGATGGCTTTTGCATATGCATATACACGAGATAAACTAAGAGCTAATCAAATTTGTAGTAACATCTACTGGGTGAATAAAGGTTTAAATTGAAAACAGCAAATTTAGAGCAAGTAGTATTCCATTCCATAATAAAACTGCCAACTGTTCTGTTGTGTTTACACTTGGGAGCATAATTAAGCGTTACTTGAGTAATTTTTTCCCATGGCCTGAGTTTTCATGAAACCTTCAATTTTTCCATTTTTCACCTCAAATTCTACTTTTCATTCACAACCTCCATCCAATCCCATAGCATGAAACGAGCTCGAATCAACCAAAGAAATTGTAGGAATACAACTTCCAGATCGAGGTAACACCGCGTGCTTCATCTCACTGCTGTTTTCCGCTGGACTACTGGACATCGACCTTAGCAATTTCGGAGACTCCAAACTCCTCTTTAGAATCTGTCTCATTGCAGCAATTAAGTGAACAGTTGAATTCAAAGGCGGAGTAGATGAACTGAACTTCTTACAAAAGTTGAGGTGACGATTCAACGCTTCTTCCGCACTGATCAGCCTCTCGCATCGCATGACCTCGTCTTTGATTGCCTCCGCACACAATCCGCAAATCCACTTCCCTTGGTACCGCTGCCGGATTGTTTCTATATATGACAGAGTGCATTCCTCTGTCAATCCGCAACAGTCGCATTTCGCAAAATCCACCTCGATTTGCGCTGTAAGTTTTGCTGCTTTAACTGTTTGTGCCTCTGCCGCTTTCATCGTTATTGACTCACTGATTATCGACATCGTAATTATTCTTCAAATCTGAAATGGAATTTCAACGCCAAAGCAGAACATGTTAAAGGAAATCAAAACTTTTTGCTCTAATAAACAAGAAAATACTCGAGGTGATTCAAAACTCAAATTGCCAGAGTAATATGTAGCATGTTTCCTAATTGTTAAATGAACCAGTATTTTCGACACAAATTATCTAAAATTATTAAACTTCGAACTCGTAATTCAAAAGTGCAATAGGTTCAGTGGCAAAGACGAGCTAGGATTTGAAACTTATGAGTTCAGGATTCTAGTTCTTTTAAGTTACTAGGTTCTAACTTAGTAATTTACACTTATTCTTAAGACAAATATAAGATTTGGATCAAAGTTCAGTGGATCGGCCTCTGCCAAAGACACTCCTATAATAGACACAGACTATGACACACTCATATAAATTTTCATTAAACTCTATATATTCATAAATAGTCTGAGCTCGACATATATATTCCAACTACTAATAGTCTGGATCTATCTCGAAGATTAATACATGACTTACCGGCAGAAGCAGATATCGGAACAGAGATAACAAATATATGCAGAAAACAATGGAATATACAATTATTCCCTTCAATTCTGCTTATTGGGATATACAGAACTTAAAAGAATACTTTTCTATCTTTCCTTCTCGTACTCCCCTTCCTCTTTGATTTCCTCATGAACAGAAAAGGTATCCATAAAAAGGGGAAAAAAGAGAGAGAGAACTTCAAAAGCTGACTCCTCAATCAGTTTGTGGACTCAGAGAACAGAGAAGATCAACAAATTTAATGTAGAGATGAGATCAAGGTGGAGAGAAAGAGACAAAGTGATAGCTTTTTTTGTTCTGCTCCACACAAAAGGAAAATATTCTTTCTTTTTGAGGCTTTTTAAGAGAGATTGGAAGTATATATGAAAGAAGTAGGAAGGGGTGGACCGCCTGAAGGATGTAGTGCCGTGGATGAGACTGTTTTTCTTAACCAAAGGTCTTGGGTTCGACCTCTGGGTGGTAGGGCGCGCTTTTCCCCAAATGGGGCCTACGCAATGTCAGATTTCAATGCGGATATCGGACATTGGGAAAACCAAAAAGAGGAAAGGGGTGGGGGTTAGCAAAGGGTGGGGGCAGGCAGAGCTAGCATGTGGAATATGGTAAAAATAGCACGGTATAGCCAGTTTTCGGACTGATCATTCAAAAATAGCCAGTGTTTACGAAGTCAATGAAAAATAGCCACTATTTTGCTGCAACAGAGACCGGTCCAGCATAATATACTGGAGTTCGGTGCACCTGTGTATGATATACTGGAGACTGGAGCACCGGTGCTTCAAACTCCAGTATATTATACTGGACAATTATACTTGCTGGAACTCCAGTATATTATGCTGGAGTTCTAGTGTACTTATGCTGGAACTCCATCATATTATGCTGGAGTTCCAGCATACTTATCCTGGAACTCCAGTATAATATGCTGGAGTTCAAGCATACTTATGCTGGAACTCCAGCATAATATACTGGCGTATTTTCCGGGTCTTGAACAGTGTTTTCGCTCAAATTTATCTTTACATGAAAAGTGGCTAAATTTCGATTACTTTTGAAACTGGGCTATTTTTGAACGACCAGTTGTAAATCTGGCTATTTTTAAATTTCTGCCTATATGTGTTCAGACGAACCGAATAACTTCAGTCCAAATATTGTATTTGTCTTAAAAAAATTTATCAAAAAAATATATAAATTATTAATTAAGAAGCTAATTAACTTAAACTGATTACAATTCTGAACCTAGTGGGTGGATGGTTTGGAGACAAAAAGAGAAGCCTCAATGAGTGATTGGCGGTTTGGAGAATCCACGTCAGCTATTGCTGTCAATTAAAAATTGCCGGCTGTATACTTGTACATTGCCAGCTGTTCTTTCTCCATATATTTCCATTTACTTTAGAGGAAAAAAAAAGTTCAGATTCTAGTCCAGTTGCCATTTATTAACGAATCTAATGTAACCTAACTAGTACAATTAAGGTTCAATTATTGCATTTGATTCCTCCACTAACAATACTTTTACAAATTTACTAGTACTTTAATCTTTGTCCCTCAATCTAAATAAATAATGATAAAATCTGGAATACAATGGTTAAATTATCAATTTTGGTCGGTGTGAATTGGTCATTAATTATTTAAAATCATTGAAATGAAATTATATATTATAATTGCGTAAAATATATCGTAAGTCATCGATAAATTTTTATGAAAGAAAGTATTTCAAATTCTTAAAATTAATTAACTCCTTATAGTGACAGTGTGGGACGAGGTGACTAATAATTTTTCTTACTAGAGAAAGTCATTTTGATCCTTTGTTTTTTTATAACTTTAATTGTACTCTTTTTAGGGTAAAGATTGAAGGTTAACTTTTAAAAAGATTGTTAAGTAAGCGACTAAAAAAGCACAGCTCTAAGTAAATGTTAATTGTGTTTTGTCACGTACCATGAGAATTAAAATCAACGTTCTATAACTAAGGGGCCAAAAGTGCATTGATTATTTTCTTCTATTTGAACAAAAATTTCTTGCCTTTATTCTTTTAGGAGATACCTAATGACAAAGAAGCACGTGTAATGATGGATCACCGACATTTATGTCCAATATATTACGCCTCACAACATAAGGAAAGATATTAATAATAAAACATCACATGTGAAAACAATAAGGTCCTAGTTAATAATTTAGTCAGATCTAAATAGAAAAGTATCTCTTGTTGTTGCAAACAAAGTTTCTGAATCGAGTCGCAAAGAAACTTGGAAAATTATTAGTATTACTGTCCTAGAAGGATCTCTTCTAAATATTTTGTATCTTTTTTTTTGTTACAATTATTTATTACTCCTTTTTACAGAAAATTAAAGGGAATTTTTCATAATTAACTTGAACTCAAGTTTTATGTTAACTTAGGATTCTAACCCTAATTGCGTAGCAAATGCTTCAATGGCAAGTCGGAGAATATGCGTTCCACCAATTGTAACTTTCTCAGTCAAAAGGTGTCAAAACTCAAAAGTACTCCCCTAAGAAAAGGCAGAAAAACTATATAAAATGTGTCTAAATTGCGGTAATTAATTAATACTGTATGATTTTGTGAAAACAACTTAGATTTTTGAAAATAACCAGCCAGCGCTGTGTATTACTCCCAAAGTTCCATTTTATATGACATAGTTCGAAATACAAAAGTTAAGTTGACTAATTTTATGTGATATAGTTCTATGTACGAGGGTCAAGCTATAACTAATTTTCGATATGAATTTTAACATATATAAAGTATTATAAGTCTAACAAAATTATCATTTAAAATAGGGATTGTTACATAAATAGTCGGGCAGATTCACTATTTATTTTTTCTAGTCAATATACATAGATAATACATTGATTATATACAGTTAGTTATACACATATTGCACATGCATTATACATATATACTACATCCACGATTATTTTTAATTTAAGAAATTAAATGAACGACTATTTGTGTTAATTTTTCATCGAATATTTTCAAACGGTTAAAGTATTTTTCATATATGCTAATGCTAGTGCTTTCTAGACGAAACATTAATATCTTAAAAGTGGAAAATTGTTTCCTAGACATACTAAAGTCACTTTGTAAAGGAAGCCGCCAATTTCTATGTCAAGCGCCAACTCGTTGCCGGAAACGAACATTTGCGGCTGACTTTGTACAAGATAATAGAAATGTGATTTCTGATTTTCCATCTTTGAGGTGGCTAAATTATTGGATTCCAAGAGTGAAGTCTACGCTACCCATAGTTGGCCACTTACCCATTATTATTTGTTGTACGTAGGGGTTAGCTTTTAAGAAACAAATGTTCCGAGTAATTAAGCTCCCGTCTTGCCATAAATTTTGGCAACTTTTTTTTTTTTTTTTAATTTTTTTTTAAAACATTGTTTGTTCATAGATTATAATCAATTTTTGAAAAAATTTTGAAATGTTTTTACAAGTTCTCAAAATCTGGTTTATGGTAGTTTTTTAGGTGAATTTTTTCTACCACTAAAAGTTTCAATTTTTTTTAATAAAATGCATGTCCAGACACAATTTCAACTTTTAAAAATTATTCTTCAAAACAACTTTAAAAATTATTTTTTAAATTTCAACCAAATTTATGTTCAAACGCTAGATACATTCCTATCTCGCTTCTCTTCTTTGATTATACTATATAGTACTGCATGGACCAAGTGAGCAGGGGCGGATTTACGCTTACTGAAGCGGTGTCACGCGACACCGCTTTGTCGGAAAATTTTACTAAATATAGTATTTATCCTGTATGGAAACAGATAAGTAGGAAAAAATGACACCACTTGACATAAAATGTGTCTTGGTGTGTTGGTAATGTAATTGATTTTTCTCTAAGAGGTCAAAGGTTCAAACCTCAACTAGCACATTTTTCTTTTGCACATACTCAGGACCTTTTGTAACTTAAGACTCAACAAAATCAATAGACTAAAGGTTATTTCTTGTCTAAAGGTATGATAATCAAAGTTATATTTCAATTCTTTTATAAATTTCGACATTGCTTACAAAAATTTCTGCGTACGCCCCTGCAAATGAGAAGAAAGAAAGCTTGATTCTCTTTTTTCTTGCTGATATGGAGAAGCATGATTATGAAAAGGACACCACTTAATAATAATACGAAAAGTGTAAGAGGTCGAAAACATTCCTTCATCTTTCATGCATTGAGTATTTACTAATGGCAAGGGAAAGAAAAGTTATATATATATATATATATATATATATATATATTATATATATATATATTATATATATATATATATATATATATATATAATATTATATATATATATATATATTATATGTTGAAGTTGCCGTGAAAGAGTGCGGTGGGATAATAATAAATACCCTTCACCCTCAACTAGAGTCAGTTTGAACCGTGAGAATAAAGAACATGTCATTGTGCTTAATTGGACTAGTACACAATAGATAATAGAGAAAATGACACTATATAGCCGCTCTCAAAATCATAGCCGAAATATATATATTCTGTATGTTATACAACATTATACACGTTTTCGACTATCAAATATTAATAGTTTATGGCGCGAGCTAAAAGTGAAAAAAACCCTAGATAATACTGGGTGCGCTAAGAAAAAAGGTAACAATTCCACTTACTTCAATTAGGTCTATAGTTCAAATTGAGAAAGAGCTTTTCGTTCTCCTCCCCCCCCCCCCCCCCCCCCCCCCCCCCCCCCCCCCCCCCCCCCCCCCCCCCCCCCCCCCCCCCCCCCCCCTCCCCCCCCCCCCCCCCCTCTTTTCACTCCCTCCTATCTCCTTTAGGGCACGACCCACTCTTGGAAAAGAATTTAGCTAGGGAAAAAACAATTGAAATGCTAACCATTAATTAAAAATAGAAAAGTTGAAGTATTGTTGTCATGGGAAGACATCAAGGATCATCAGTTCACATGGCAATGTATTAAATATCGACACATTAGCACGTACGTATCTCATGCTTTATGCTTGTTTTGTCAATTCTATAGATAACTCTTGCGAAAGATACGTCTATGGTTTTAACTTAACCTTTTAAATAAGTAGCATTAGGTAGATGAAACTTAGAACCAAGACAACAAAAATCTTCTCCCTAACAATTCCCATTCCATATCCAGTAGTTTCGACTTTTCGAGTAACCAATTAATCATTTTGCACAACATATATTCCCTCAATTTTCAGGTCAAAGGTCGTTGCGGTTTAAGAGTACTTACTGCCCGATTCTACGTACTACTCCTTCCTTATATGATTTAATTTCTTTATTAGTTCCTTCCAAAATAATATAGTAATTTTATAAATTTGAAGATAATTTAACATAAACATTTTATTTTATTCGTA